CCATTCCAAGTTAGTCAACAACATAATAGCCTGTTTCCTCTGTATTCCTTCAACTCTCCATCTAAAAAAAAAAAAAACCGTAACAACAATATTTATTAATTATTCAAAAACTTTAAAATAGTAATAAAATAAAATAAAAATATGAAGAAATCCAAGTCGGCTTCAACATCCTCCTCCTCACTATAAATTCGCGTTTCCACTTTTCTCTCTCTCTCTCACAATTAACTCTCTTCCGTTTCTTCTTCTCACGTCACATCGGATCTAAACAGAAACTATTTTTCTCTAATTTTCTAGAAAATTTTCTGGGTTAATGGGAACAATCGAAATGGATAATAATCCAAAAGTGAACGATCTCTCTCAAATCCTTCCTCGTGTCCTCGTCGTCTCTAGACGCACCGTTCGTAAAAACAAATTCGTCGATTTCGTTGGTTCTTCTCTTACCCTCTCTCCTCTCTAAATCTGCATGGTTCTGTTTTCATGATCATAAAAATCCAACCTTTTTAAATCTCTGTTCTTCATAGTGTAATGGGTCCTCTCTAAAAACTGTGTTTTCATAATTATAAAAATCCAACCTTTTTGAATCTCTGTTCTTCATAGTGTAATGGGTTCTCTCTAAAAATTGTGTTTTCATGATTATAAAAATTGAACCTTTTTAAATCTCTGTTCTTCATAATGTAATGGGTTCTCTCTAAAAAGGGAAGTTGTGTGTTTTATGATTATAAAAATCGGAACTTTTTGAATCTCTGTTCTTCATAATGTAATGGGTTCTCTCTAAAAATTCGATTTTTTTTTTTTTTGCAGGTGAATATCATCTTGATTTGATAGTGCGTTATGGATGTGTACCAGTGATTGTTCCACGAGTTACTGGTGTTCATTTGTTGCTTGAGAGTTTTAAACCAATCCATGGAGTCTTACTTTGTGAAGGAGAAGATATTGATCCTTCTCTATATGAATCTGAAATATCTTCTCTTTCACCAGAAGAGTTACAAGAAATCAGAGAAACTCATGCTAGTGATACAGCTATTGATAAAGAGAAAGATTCCATTGAGTTAGGTCTTGCTAAGCTTTGTCTTGAACAGAACATTCCTTACTTAGGAATCTGCAGAGGATCACAAGTAATCTCTTTCTCAATTTTATGTCTTTTGTTAGCTTTCTCTGGCATTTGAAATGTTAATGGTGGTGATTACTTGTTTTGTAGATTTTGAATGTAGCTTGTGGTGGGACTCTTTATCTTGATTTAGAGAAAGAGCTTACGAATAAGTTACCGGAAGAACGTAGAACGAAACATATAGATTATGATGATTATGATGGACATAGACATGTTGTGAGGATTGTTGAGAATAGTCCACTTCATTCATGGTTTAAGGACTCGTTGGACGGAGAAAATATGGAGATTTTGGTAAATAGTTATCATCATCAAGGCGTTAAGAGATTGGCACAAAGATTTGTGCCAATGGCGTTTGCTTCTGATGGATTAATGGAAGGGTTTTACGATCCGGATGCTTATAATCCTGAAGAAGGGAAGTTTATAATGGGTTTGCAGTTTCATCCAGAGAGAATGAGATCACACGATCTCGATGAGTTTGATTATCCTGGTTGTCCTGCTGCATATCAGGTTAATTTAGTTATGTTCTTGAAGATAGTTTACATTGCAACTAAAGAAGTTGTCAAATTGAGTGTTTTTGTTTGTGATTTGGTGTATTGTAGGAATTTGCAAAGGCGGTGATTGCATATCAGAAGAAGCTGAATAGCTCAATGTCTGTTCCAAAGACATTAGAGCTTGATAGAGAAATGGAGAATAAAAGAAAGATACTTGTTCGAAGTTTTTCACTTGCGAGGAATATGTATACTAGAGGAGAACCTGGCAAGAACCCATCAAAACAATCAGAGCTCGAAGTTGGAGCCGAGTTTCTCAAGGTAAAGAGCACCGAACCTCTCTGCTCAACTTTCCATTATCTTTGAATATATAATTGAATATATAATCTTTGAATATATAATTAGAGGACTTAATTTGGCCTTTCGTAGTCCCAAAGGGGTTACATAGTTAGAGTCGGTTCTTTGAAGTACAGCTATGTCTTTGAATTAAAATTCTAGTGGGGGTTAGATGATGTATATGGTTGTTGTGATGGGCCAAAGAGACCTGGACCGGATCAACCCCGGACATTTTGAGTCCGGATTCCAAGCATGTACCCGGTTGGTATTTCGGCTTGCGGGGCATGAACATGCATCAGGCCCGGCTCGCGCACCTTAGCAACCCTAACAACGTCCTATTCTTTCTTGACAAATGTTTTATCATTGTTGGATTATTGTCTCTGATTTTGCTGAGCTAGATATTCTTGCGTGTGGTGTTGGGTTTTGCAGTCCAACACGGCGCTAAGTGTGGAGCAAGAGACGAGGCTGAAGGAGATGGGAGCGACGGTAAGGAACGGAGGATCATATATGAAA